TTTCTTCGTTTGACATGTTGATTTAAGAATAGTCAATGAAGTTTACATCATTGTTAATTATTGAATTTGTTATTCTGAATTTCAAATGTTCTTTGAATTTGAATTTGACAGCGACAATGTTTCAAAATTAGGAAGGGAAGCAGTGATTATTTGAATTGATTATATAGACGCTTCGCCCCTGCTAGTAATTTCACACCTCGTCTGGCTTCTAGGCTACCCACTTCTAAGTGTAGAATTCTGTGAGGCTACCCAGGCAAGTTTTCTTAGTGGCTCGCTACTCAAGCACTCTCACGGGAAGTCGTGAGATATCACACCCACACTACACTGACCATTTGCATCGCTCAGGGCTCACATGATGGGGCGGTCTTGGGTAACATCTACCCCCAAATTGCCCCCCTACTCCTCTTCCTCACTCAGCGGCATAGCCAATAGCGTTAAGTTTACAGCCAGCGGAACCAAACTTGCCAGTTTTGCTTCAAATCAAGGTTGAGCGGGCAAAGCATTTTCCGTCTTAGACAGGTGAAACCCTCGGTGGGAGCGGATTTTTCTTTCCGTTTCCGCGCTGGACAGGTTTCCGTTTTATACAGGTACTTTAAGAGGAATATATTATCAAGGGGGGAGCGTGGATATACAGTAGAACCTACCTTTACGGAAACCTGTATAAAACGGAAACTTGTCTTAACGGAATCTCCCCGCTCCCCCCTTGATATTTTCCTCTTTAATTACCTGTATAAAACGGAAACCTGTCCAAGGCGGAAACGGAACGAAAAATCCGCTCCTTTCCGAGGATTTGTAGAATTCTGTGGCCCTGAGCGATGCAGAGGGTCAGTGTGGTGTGGGTGTGAAATCTCACGACTGCCCGTGAGAGTGCTCGAGTAGCGAGCCCCTACGGAAACTTCCCCGGGTCCAGAAGCCAGAGGTGTGAAATTAGATTGACCAATGCCTGCCGCCTTGATGGTACGGCCAGCCGAGAAAAGAGTTCCTTGAATCGTTGTTACAATGGTGGCAGGTGGCATTGGTGGGTGGGGCTAAGGGTGGAAGCAAAGGAGATGTTCAAACGTTTCTGTTTTTAATAGGTCAAGCAGTGGTCCTGTGAAAGGCAAGCACTGGTGGTAATTGGATAAGTAAGACTGACGCATGTCATTATCAGACAGGATAGCAATTGAGAGGTGCGAAGTTTTGACCACTGCTCGCCGATCGGACAAGCGATCCTTGATCCCACCAGCTGGGTCTTTGAACCCCACCCCACCCCCACCTCCATTCTCCACCTAAATTCCCCTGTCTAAGACGGAAAATGTCTAAGACGGAATTTTTTTCTGGTTCCCTTGCGATTCCGTCTTACACAGGTTCGACTGTATATAAATGGGGGAGGTGGCATAAGCGTCCAAACGTCAGCAGACGAAGCAGATACGTCACAACCATAATCCCCCATCCCAAGCTCCTACAATGATAGTGATAGAATAGGCCAGTCTAAACATTGAACTTGATCTATGTAGGCCTACGATTGAATTGTGCGCAGGACGTGAAAATTGGGCCAGGCGAATACGGGCTTTCCCCCTAGTCCCCCATCTGGGATGCAAGTCGCTGATGAACTGAAATCTATGATAATATTATTCTAATCAGAGTTCAGGGTCGTTATTTTTTTGTTTGTGGTCCTTCGTACTGCAGTCTTTCAACTTTGCAACTACATATGTAGATTTTTACATTATGTAGATATTAAATTAAGTTCTCTTCTTCATCATATCCTCACAAGACTCCCAGTCCCTGGCCAATAGTGTAGTAGTAAGCCAGTTTGATTTTCGTCTGATTCCACCACATAGAATGGCAACAACTTTGTTCTGTATAAAACCAGAAACAGGTTCGTTTATACTGAGACAAAAATGAACCGCAAGACACCCCCCCCCCCCCCCCCACACCAAAAAAATTAAAATAAAATTAAAATAAATAAATGAAATAAATTAATTAAAATGAATAAATGAACAAAAATACAAATTAAAAAAGGAGCAGTACACCGACCACAATTTATTAATGGGCGACCCGGTGACCATGTTGGTGAGGTCCAGTTTTGCACGCGAGATATGGACTGAATTACACAAAATAATAGTTCGTCTGTAAATGTCTGACTTGGCAGAAAAAAATTTGCCACATTCTGTAGGCTACATAATATTCCAAAGCTTCATTTCCACTCGTGATGTGCACAATCTGCATTCTGCAAGCTTCTGACTACCCACCTTGACTGCTGCTTAATTAACATTAGATCTGTTATACTCGTATATGTATATTATCTAGGAGCTATACTTTAATAATTAATTAGCTCTTCCATGTTGAAGGATTCAGATCTTATTAATGTACAGACATCGAAGTGCGTTGCTCCGTTTTTGCTCTCTTATTGCAGCGACGCGAAACGCCGGTCACTCTTGTCGAAATTAATTGATAATAGTGCAGTGGCAAACACAGTTTAAAAAATAATTTTTTGACAGAAACGCTGTAAAACTTGCTGGCCCGACCAGAACTGATTCTCTCGCCGCAAGATTTGAAATCAGTACTTAAAATGTATAATAAAATATGATTCAAAACACAGTTCAATACTTAAAGGAGGTTGTAATGATGTCTGCAACCACATTAAAGCTGCGATCGAAAGCTGGTTTTTACAGTAGCAATAACCTCGATATTTTAAAAGTTACAGTTTTATCCCCTCGCCCCATAAATTTCTCGATTCTCTCCCTTCCACGAAACTAGAAGCACGACATGTGAAGAGATTGTCGGTCTTGGATTTTCCCTCGTTGGAAAGCTATTTTTAGCCTTGTTGTCATAATTGAATAACTCTCCAGTGATAGGAGTCAATGTTTTTGTCATCTGATCAACAAAGTGAAGTTGACAAAACAAAGGAGTGAGACACTTATCCTTCATCTTCTCCTTGGCCGTTTCGCTCAGAACGCTTGCTATTCTATTTTAAAGCTGTTCTTTGATTGATTGACTGCCATCATGTTTGAAAACGTCAGCACTTTCACGCTCATTTTGTACATGATAGTGTTACTATTAGTTGTTATGTTATTGACCCTGATTGCCCTGTTGATTCATTCTGGGCTGTTCCGAGCATTGGATGATATCGGAACTGGAAAGCCCCCAATTGGCCAAACTGTCCTAGCCTATAGGTTTCAGAAAGGACCATATAACGAGGCTGGTCAAGTCTTTACTGAAGCTGCAATAATTTCTCCGGGAAACAAAGCTCTTGGTATCTACTATGATGATCCTCACAAGGTATTCTCATTCACATTTCAAATTAATTTTGTCAAGTGTTAGTGTGTGTATTGTAATACTAGTAATAGTTTAGATGTCTAGATCTAGTCTAGATATACAGTGGAACCTGCCTTAACGGAAACCTGTATAAAACGGAAACCTGTCTTTACGGAATCTCCTCGCTCCCCCCTTGATATATTCCTCTTTAATTACCTGTATAAAACGGAAACCTGTCCAATGCGGAAACGGAAAGAAAAATCTGCTCCCTTCCGAAGGTTTCACCTGTTTAAGACGGAAAATGCTTTGCTCGCTCAGCCCTGATTTGAAACAAAACTCATAAGTTTGATTCCGCCGGCTCTAAACCTAACTCTAACGCCATGGCCATATGCTGCTGGGCGAGGAAGGGGAGTAGGGGTGCAATGGGGGTAGAGTAGAAGTTACCCTATGTTACCCCATCATGTGAGCACTGAGCGCTACAGATGGTCAGTGTAGTGTGGGTGTGATATCTCACGACTGCCCGTGAGAGTGCTCGAGTAGCCAGCCACTAGGAAAACTTTCCTGGGTAGCCAGAAGCCAGAAGTGTGACATTAGATTGACCAATGCCTGCCGCCCTGATCGTACGGCCTGCTGAGAAAAGAGTTCCTCGAATCGTTGTTACAATGATGGCAGTGAGGGGTGGCATTGGTGGGTGGGACTAAGGGTGGAAGCAAAGGAGGCGTTCAAACGTTTCTGTTTTTAATAGGTCAATCAGTGGTCCTATGAAAGGCAAGCACTGGTGGTAATTATTGGAGTAAGACTGACGCATGTCACTATCTGACTGGATAGCAGCTGAGAGGTGTGAAGTTTTGACCACTGCTTGCCGATCGGACAAGCGATCCTTGATTTGACTGTAGATCTCTATATTCTAGATCTAGAGATATCTACTAAATCTACTAGATCTACTAGATCTAGTTCTAGAATCTAATAATAGAAGGCCTAACCTAATGATGAATTACAATGTGATTGAATTGATCTGAAGTGGACATTACTTAGATAAGTTACAAGTTTATTAGGGCGGAGCTACAATTTAGGTTGGGGCTACTTTCAAAGAACTTCATAAAAATAGCTTCCTCTTCCGCAAAGCATCATGTACAGGCACACATACACCATGCATTGACCATTGAATAGGCGGTGCCTATTGGGGGATTTGTCCAGTTTGGTTAGGTCATGTTACATTTCTGGCGGCTTCAGATTCAGTGCACACTATAAATTTAAATTAAAAATAGACCCCTGCCTCAAACTTGCGGCCTTGAAAATGAAATCATGTTTGTTCTTGAAGGTCGTTGTCGTCGGCTTCATTTGGTTTTTGTCACCATGGTAGCTTTTCTTCAGGTCCTTGAGGCATGAGGAAAATCTCTCGATCTAAGCCCTACGTAATGACTTCCGAATAACTGATCTTGTCAATGGGCACTGGGTATTAGGGATGGCTTTCACCAACAGATCCAAGCAAGTATTGATGCTATTGCAGTCGAACCTGCCATGATGGCCACCTATACAAACAGCCACTTTTCATTTCCCCCCTTGCGTTTTTTTCTATATAATTTAAATGGGTAAAATGGTCACCTGTTCAACATAGCCGCGGCCACAGTATTTTATCAACCCACGGTCAAATTTCTGCTTCAGACAGCCAGGCGTGGCCACTCATTGCCAGACGCTTTGTCATAAATTTTGAATGGGCCCCTCACGCTATGGACGGACCATCATAATTAATTCACCTGTCGTTAGTCCCACCAAGGAATACAATATCTCAAGTTGACCAATGGGTAGTATGCCTTTAACAGTAAATTTTAAACTGCTGCTGGTAAGGGAAGTATGATCCGTCATAACTATAAGCCCCGCCCACAACTCATGCACAAATTGTCATGTGAGGTTACTGGTCACTGTTTTGTTTACCTAATCTGTAATAAAGTAACAATGGACGTTGACGTGAACTTAACGACAAAAGAAGCGTCGCTCATTCTCAGAGTGGTGGCAACCCGTGTGTTTGTTTTACCATGGCACTCGGTCGTCGTCTTACTTGTTACATAATATTTCCTTTATTTAACTCTTGCACAAAATCAGCAACAAAAAGAAAGCTAACCAACCCC